CCTCACGAATGAGCATGGTCAGTGATAGAATCGTTACCTCTTTGTGGCGATTCAGATCTTTGATGCAGCGATCACAAGCGTTGATGAGGTGCAACGCCTCTACTCAGTCCACACGAACAGCTTCCGGTCACAGTGCTAGCTGCTTACGAACGGAATTATTTGAGTGAGAAAAGAGAATCAAAAACGAAATTGCATCAAGTGAAAGCTTCATCACAAGGGTTCCTTTTATAGACTCTCTTGTGGGCTGCGGGCTAAAACCCTAATTCACATGATCCATAATAATATTATATATTATTATAATAACTATTATTATAATAAATATATTTATTTTATTATTATTTTATAACCATTATAAAATAACAATAATTATTATTATATTATCCGAATTTCTATTTTCACTTAAGTGCACCGTACCTTACGGTGTTCCTTTGATTTCTCTATCTCTCATCAAACTGTCCTTATGTGTGTGACCCTGTAGGATTTCGTAACGTTGGTAATTATATTAAATTATATATTTAACATAATAAACAGTAAGCGGTATCTAGCAACACATCACTGCTACCCAAGTCACGAAAATGTCATGTGATCTGACAAAACCTTTTTCGTGATAATATATGTTTGTACAATTACCCTTTTGCCCCTATGTCTATATTGAACACAAGGCATACTCTGTGTCATCCTTGTCCAGTTCAATATTGGGCCCTTAGACATTTCTCCTGTTATGCAGGATTGGCAAATTCCATCTAGGACACTTATGTCCCTCAGCATGCTTCGTGGAGTGCCCATCAACTGTCTTTATGATCATCCAGTTACGAATAATGTTTGATCAGCAATAAAGCACCCGACTCTACATCTAGGGTCCATAGTGGTTTCAGGTCGAAGGGTGGTAATACACCATTATCACCATGAGAATAACTTATGACACTTTGCATAACATACTATGTAGTATTCTCATAGCGGGTCAATCCGGTATAAATATTACTCCTAATATTTATACCTATGTCAAGACTTGATAACTCTTTATCCATGATCCATGAGATGTGATCATCAGTCTATCTTCATAATAGTCTCAATGCTTTTAATGTTATCCCACTTTGCAATAAAGCTTGACTACGGATATTTTAAGAATAATGTCTTTATGTTTAATGGGATCTCATGATTAAGTCACACTTAACATTTCATTAAACAGACTAACTATTCTAGGGACTTTATTATTCTGAAAGACAAACATAATAAAGAAATACCTTTTATTATTAAACGAATAATCCGATACAAGTACCAAAAAGTATTGGCCTCTAGGGCTTACACCAACAGAATGAATAATAACATTTGAACCTTCTAAAATATACAGACCACATATTTTAGACCCTTTAGCAATAATCAATTCATCACACAAAATATTTAACACTCCACGTCCAACTCTAGTGCAATAACCTAGATCATCAAACATACTTATAGATAACAAAATTTGCTTGAGTTTTAGAACATACATCACATTGTGAATAAGAAGTTTACGATCATTAAACATTTTAAATCTGACCGTACCAATACCATGAACTTTGCATGCCTTATTATTATCAAGGCGAACTACTCCACCTTGCACCATCTTCAAAGTTTCAAAGTATTATATTCTTGGACACATGTGATAAAAGCAACCTGAGTCAATGACCCAACTATCTTCAGTTTCCAAACTCGATACTACTAGTGCTTCGACATCCTCATAACTTTCCTCACCCAATGCAACTACAACTTAAACAGAATCTTCAGGATAATCCCTTTTAAAGTGACCAATTTTTTGAAAATTAAAACATTTTACCTTTGACTTGTCAGACCTCTTTGATTTGAACATCCCTTTACGCTCACCTCCTCCTCTTGACACATTTAAGCCTTCACCACTATCTTCAATCTTCAAATCTTTCAACTTTGAAAATTCTTTAGATTTCACCGCCGTCTGGACTTCATCCAAAATAATAGTACCTTCCTTATTATAAAGAAGGGCATCCTTAAAGTGCTAAAAGGATCTGGGTAATGAATTCAACAGGAGTAAAGCCTTGTCCTCATCATCAATCTTCACTTCAATATCCTCAAGATCATCGATAATTTTGTGAAATTCTATAAGCTGCTCAACTATAGATTTGTTCTCCACCATTTGGAATGAATAAAGTTGTTGTTTCAGATACAACCTGTGAGGCAAAAACTTTATCATATACAATGATTCAAGTTTTGCCCACATAGCAACCATAGTTTGCTCCCTGGTGACTTCTCTTAGAACTTTATCCCTGAGGCACAAGATAATGACACTCCTGGCCTTATCCACCATCTCGGTCTTTTGTACCTGTGTAAGCCCTACAGACATCAATGCTTCACTCTTCAAAACATCGATACATTTCTCTTGAATTAAAATTGTTTGCATCTTAATTTTCCACAACTCGAAGTCGTTGTTACTAGAAAATTTCTCGATCTGCCATCTACTAACCATGGTGCTCACTTGTCAATAATATCTCTTTGCTCCACGCTCACCCACCACTTGTTGTGAATTACAACAAAATTCAATATTAATTTGTGAGGCAAAGAACAATAGCAACCAAAATAAATGGTCTTCAGCAATAATAATCCGTACACAGATAATATAACAGAATAAGGCAAGAAAAAGCCGAAGGTTTGTTTACCTAATTTGATCAAACGATCTACTTTGGTGGAGAGAGCAACTCTCCAATTCAATATACTTAGCAAGTTTTTACAAGAGATTACAAATAAGTTACAAGAAAATAGCCTTCGCCTTCAGGTTCCCAAGAACAACCCTGAAGGCGCCTAAGAACAACCTTGAAGGCGCTCGAAAACAACCATATTTTCTACTCAAGTGTTTCTCTACCTCTCTAACTCTCAATATATGAATTACTCAAACCCAATGTGTAATCTAAAGTTTCTTTGTGCATAGCTGAAACCCTATGTTATACCTTTAAACCATTGTTCTTCTTTGTTGGTGTAAACTCTAAGATTGTCACACACCAAACATATAAGAGATACATATTTATAATAACAAACACCCAACAAACAAAATTCAAAATCACATGGAGCCATGGACCGAATCGAAAAAAGCTCGAAAATGCGAAAACACTATTCACCGTACGGACGTCACTATTCATACATACATGTAGCAATATTCACCGTATGAACAACACTATTCACCGACCGGTTTTTTTTCTCGACTTTTTAAAACTTTTGATTTTTGCAGTAAATGCAATCTCCAAAATATATTTTATTTCTCTTCATCAACAAAGGTTTTAAGGCACATTTACAACACTTGTTGTGAATTTTTCTTTTTTCTCCTTCATTTGAATCAAACATAGCTTTAGAATTTCAATTCATTACACCCATTATAAAAATAGCAAATACCAAAAATACTTTGCATAAAGAGTATACTTATCTATTTTTTTGTTTAAAATATTTTTTTAATCTTTTAATATTATTTTTTTATAAAAATATTTTTTAAAGGTTTAATATTCTTTTTAATTTCATATATTAACTTTGAATTCATTTTTGTGTATTAATTAAAAAAAAATTTCATATTAACCCATTAACTCTTCAAAATGAATTTTCTTAGTTTTTTTCCGTCTAATTAATAATGAAGTTAACAACTAGTTTTTAAATTTTTCATTCATTGCTAATCAAATAAAAAATTAATATAATACATTTTGAAAAACTAAGAAATCAATATGAATTATTTAAAAATAAAAAATAAAAATAAATTTTAAAGATTAATATATGGTATTAAATATATTAACTTTTTTCAAATAAATCATGATTAATTAAATACTAATTTATAAAGGACAGATATAATTTTAAATATGTAAGTAAATACTATTGACGAGAATATGAAATTAAACTTACTTTATGATCTTTTTAGGGAAGAATTACTATATAATTAAAATATTTAATATTTATATTGATTCTAGAAAGAATTTGTTATGTTTTTATTTGCCTTTTTTTTCATAAAAAATCCACTAAATTCTTTCAAATCTTAACGATTTATAAAATATTTATAAATCTTAAAAATTTATATCATAAAGTCTTTAAATCTAAATTAAAAGAAATCACAACTTTAAATAATTTTATAAAAAAAATATTAGAAAGTCAATATAAATCTAAAAATATTTTTAAATCTTCAAGATTTTTTTTTTACAAAATAGTCTTTTGAAAAGACTATTTTGTTACCAAAAATACTTTCCCTAAGGATTATATTTAACTTTCTTTTCTTTGGTCTAACACTTTAGTTTTATCGTTTAATGTTGTTATTATTATCATATTACTTATTATAATTATATTTATTTCCAAAAATAATAATTTGAATTTCAAAGCTTCAACAATTTCCAGCTCACATTTGGTATCATTCCAATCCGCCTTTGATTGGCTATGATGATAATTGATAACTTTAGACATTAAAAACTTTCTGGTCGGTGACGTGTTCACTTGCATTAACACACACGCTCATCATCCACGAGCTTATAATCGTGGCTAACACTTTCCAACTGTTCGTGTCACCCACGCGCTATAACAAAGCGTGGTGAATTCCCAACATGTTTTCTGTGGTCCAGCTATCGCCATTCGTGGCAAAGCACCACAGGTCCTCTAAATAAAGATAACAAGGGGCAGTATGGTCTCGTGTTTACGGACCCCACCATAATTAACGGATATGATGCAGTGGAATATTCATAACCGTTGGATCTAGGTGCACTCCAAAACCTAAATTAAAATAAAATAAATAAAAAAATGTTTCGGAATTGATTTGATATATGAGTGCGGTAAAACAGTGCAAAAGGAGGGAATAGAGAGGGGGAGGTTTGTGTGAAGAACGAAAGGTGAATTGGATGCAGCGAAGCTTCTAGAAAATCTCTCTCTTTCTCTCTCGTTTGTTAGAAGAGAGAATTCGTAGATCTGATTTTTTTCTTCTTTCTTTCGATCGATTGTTTCGTTATCAGAATTTAGTTCGAGAAAAAGCAATGGGATTGTGGGAAGCTTTTTTGAATTGGTTACGCAGGTAAAGCTTTTTTTTTCGTTCATCGCCATTGTTATTTTTTTTGAAGGATTTGGTTCTTGTATTTTGTATTTTTTTAAACTAAGAATTAGGTTCATGAATTTGTATGCTATTGGAATTGTTATTACGTTTTTTGTTTGTGCTTTAATTGAGCCGTTTAGATGATTTGAATTTTGAAACGTGTATTGTGTGAGTAATTCGGTGCGTAATTTCCTGATTGTTGAAGGAGTTATGTTTCTGTTTGTTTGTTTGTATTATTCTAAGGTTTTCGTGCATTTTTTTTTGTCGTAATATTGAAGGCGTTCAATTTTGTGTATATTTCATGGTTATCGTGTTTCAAACCTTGGATGAGTGAGACTACCTGCTGTACATGATAAAAATGGATGTAGTTGTGATGAATAGATGATAGATTTCATATAGATCTCCGGTTTGTAGATGAATTATTTTATTTTGAGGTGCAATTGGCTAATCAGCTTAATTAAGCGCTTATTAAATAAGTGCTTATTATATAATTGAACTTTTTGAATAAATGCTTATTATATAAGCCTTGTATAAACTAATTTAAATAGTCCAAGAGGGAATGTGGTCAAACTGTATTGATGTAAGTTATAAGTTGTTTTGATAAAGCTACGTGGAAAACATATTGAAATAAGCTGAGAACTTCTCATAGACATGTCAAATGCTCCCCAGAGCACTTATACAAGTGCTAATATCTTAAGTTAAGCCCAAATGTGTTTTAAATAAGCTCTTCCAAGTTCACCATTGGTGCTAAACAACATTATTCTTTACTAAAGGGCCTCTGGTTGCATTAAATCTGCTTTGTCTTTTCACAACACTAAAATTTCAGTTTTAGATTGTACTTAGGAGTTGAATTTTATATTTTTGGTTTTGTCTGATGTATATATGCATCCCCTGTGCTAAGTGGATCACTTTCTTCTAAAGGACCAAGCTTATTATGCTTTAAATTTGATTTGATTGCAGCCTTTTCTTCAAGCAGGAAATGGAGTTATCTCTTATAGGACTTCAGAATGCTGGGAAAACTTCCCTTGTAAATGTTGTTGCTGTAAGTACAGTAATCATGTTAATTTTCTCTTTTTTGTTTAATTTATACTTTGGGTCCGCTTCACTAATTGATTTTTTTATATTGCTTATAGACCGGTGGATACAGCGAGGACATGATTCCTACAGTAAGTTATGCTCACCAAATGCTTTTAGTTATCGCTTCTTCCTCTATTTGTTTGTGTTAGGCTTTTAGTGAATGGGGCAGCAGTAGGGAGGGAAGAGTTTGGATGTGTGTATGAGAAAGAAGACGTAGTGGAAAGGAGCTCATATAGCAAATACAACTTTGGGTGTTTTAGAAAAGTTTATTATTGTAGTTGTTAGGACTTAGGAGGATAAGTAAGATTTGTTAGGGTACAGTTGTCTTAGTGACACGCTAATAGGGTACTAGTATATGATAAAAAGGGATACGAGAAAAAATAATATTAGATGGTCCTGACATATAACATTGGAAATCTCTCTTAGTAGGTTGTCTCGAGTCTTGGCATTGTCTATTCAATCAGTAATACAGAGGAACTTCTAAACTTGCAATCTATATTCATCCTAATTCTTATTACTCTCATGGCTTCCTAACAAGTGGTTCAAATTTTGTGACTTGAAGACACTGAATAACATGGAGGCACTCATTGAAGCCCTCGAACCATCAATGGAAGTAGTTAGTGTCAGAGGTTGTCAACAACGCCGTACCTCATTATCACTTGGCAGACTTTCAACAAAGCATGACAACCCACAATTGAATATTAGCATCAACGGACTTATAGCTTCATTAGATGGAAAAAGTTGGGCTGGTTTTGGAAGACAATGATGAAACCAGTGGCAACTCTAAGGATGGATCAATTGCCACTTGAGAACAATGATGGCAGATGGAGGAGAGTGGGGATGGTCAGGGGTCTCTGAGTGACAACAATGAACTGGGATTTGGGTAAAAAAGTGAAATTTCGTACCTTTAACAAAGTGGTAGGTGCACTATTTCATAGAGAAGATGTTAAGGAGATTCAGGCCATCTTTCGATCTTATATCCACTATCACCGGGTTCATGACTGAGGAGTTCAGGTAGATAAGGCCTTGAGAAAAATTCTGAACGACTTCAAGAAGGACCTTAATTCACATTGGCTCTTTACTATTAACGAGCCGGGAAACTTGTTCTGCAAAGTTAGGATGGATTTAACAGCCTCTTGTGCTTAGATTTCCAAATTATTTGCTAGATTCCATGCTTTTCCCGTTTTTAGACACGTTGATTTATAGGAACTACAAAATGTTGGCACAATTGGTGTGTCGTTGGGGATAATAGGGGCCATTACTAATTGTTGTGCTACCTGCTGTACTTGTCAGCGCAATAAGTATAAAGACGTGTCTCCTGCAAGCTTGTTATAAACACTGCGTAAGACCTGTTCGCAGAGCTATTTGCGGAGAACTCCGTACACAGTTTATTATGGTTGTTGAGGTCCAAGGAATATGATTTCATATTGGTGGTTGACTGGTTGTTTACAAGTATGGCTATTTCATTGCATTAAAATACTCCTATTCAGCAAGAATTGCTGTATACATTTTTGTATGAGAGTTAGTTTGGTTACTTCGGATTCCTATCTCTATTGTTAAATGATGGGGCGCTACATTCATGAGCAAATTCTTGCAGGAGAGATTTTTAATACAGGGTACAATGTTGACTCTGGTTGGCAGGCAGAAGTGTTGAATTAAACATCGGAGACCTATTTGCTATATTTCACTTCAGAACAAGGGTGTGGAGTTTTTTCCTTACTTGGGCAGAGTGTTGGTATAATACCAACCATCACGGGGAAGCAGGTCGTACACCATGCAAGGTGGTTTATGTGGTTGCACATTTGCAGTAGTTTTTGTGCTTGCACCTTTGCAGGAGTCTTGATTTAAATAAATGGAGTGTTACATCAACTTAAACCTCATTTGGCGATAGATCAAGAGCTTATGAGGCACTATCGAGACCAACATACAAAATCTGCTAGCATCCAAGTAGGCCACTGGGTATGCAAGGCAGGGGTCGATACGAGTGGCATGTGTACCCAAAGTATAGAGCAATATGTTATTTGTTGTCTTCAAACAAAAAGGTTTTGTTGTATTCAAACCGCAGCTGCCCGATCAGTATCAAATTCACTCTATTTCGTGTATTTTTTCTGATGAATGTCGTGGGGCACCAGGAGGTGGGAACCGTGTTATCAACTGACATCAAGAGGAAGCGCCACATTCTGCACCGTGGTCTGATCTGATTATGATAGACCGGATTCCGGTGCAGAGGCACACATGCCAGAAAACAGGGCCTACATACAGTTTATCCAGGAGCTATATCCTCATTTCTACCTTGAGGACACGGTTTATATTTATATTCTACATGTAAATGTTAGTGACAGGCAGAGTAAACAGACAGCAGTCAGTAGGGTAGGTATTGAAGGTGCATACGAGAAGCAAGTGGTCGCTGGAAGGAGCTGAGTTATTTAATACAGATGGGGGTGATAAAATCACTATTGTTATGCAATAAGCTATTTAGTACAAAATATTGTCAAATAATGGCTATAGCAGTGCTATAACATTGCTACGTAGTAGAATTTGAACAAACCGTTATTTTCCACAGTCCACGATTAATAACGCTGGCAGTCAGTTTTATTAATTTAGGTACAACAGTCATAGTTGCAAGATGGTGCAGTACAGGATGTAAGTAGAATTTGAGAACAGAGAGGGATCCCGTTTTAATAATATAGAAAAGTAGTTCTGCCCTTTTATAAGGGGATTTTTCCTTAGAAGTACATATTCGCCCTGTCAATTTTAAATCAATAGTACGAAGTTTGTTAAATTTCTATTTGTTTTCATCCTACTTTTTATCATTCTCTTGGGTTTGTAACAGTTTGATTTAAGTTTACTACCTCTCAAGAGCAATATTTCTGATTAATCTATTGTTATCTTGTTTTAGGTGGGATTCAATATGAGAAAAGTAACAAAAGGAAATGTTACAATTAAGTTATGGGATCTTGGAGGGCAACCTAGGTTCCGTAGCATGTGGGAACGCTACTGCCGTGCGGTTTCTGCTATTGTGTATGGAACAAACTTCTTATTTTCTTTTAGCTTTGAATATTTATGTGTTTGTTTCCCATGCACACACTGATACATTTATGGATGCATATTTAACTGATAATTTTTTATTTCTAATGTTGTGTATATGATCAACTTATGCGTGTTTAATATTGTTTACATGTTTGATATATTGCCAAACAGTCGTATAAAGCGTGCCTAAAGACTTAATTTTGTTCTTGATGATTGATGTCCCTAGCTGTTTGTTTTAGGTTTTGTAGTTGTTCCATAGCCAGCATATTATGCTTAAATACTGGTTGTTTAGATTCCCGCGGAGTAATTAGCTCTTTCCTGATGTTTTTATATGTTGAGAAATACTTTGCCTATATGAAAAAGCCTCAAAATATTTGCACGTACAAATTGATTTCATTGTTTCACCATTAGCTTTTTGAAATTTTTGTGCATGAGTTTTGATTATCTTGCAACATGTGGTCCAAAGTTTCAAGAGTTAAAACTCTCATTCTATTTGCTTTGTTGCTGCTCAATTCAAAAAAGTCTTCATTGATTTTAGTTTAAAGCAAATTTAATTTTTTCTGTTGAAAATGGGATGCTACCTAGATCTAATACAGCTGTTAGTTGAATCATATGCTCAAATTTCTATGGAATGAAAGCATTAGCTGAATTTGTGAGACTTGACTAGTTTCTTAATATGATCTTTTCTGCAGTTACGTTGTTGATGCTGCTGATCCAGATAACCTTAGCATATCAAGAAGTGAACTTCATGATTTGCTGAGCAAACCATCATTGAGTGGTATACCTCTATTGGTGTTGGGGAACAAGATTGACAAGGCAGGGGCTCTGTCTAAACAAGCTTTGACCGACCAAATGTAAGATTCACATCCCTTCCACTCTGGTTTTTACTAGCGATAGCAGATTAAATTAGTTCTAGGGAGTTCCAAAATTAAATAAGTATATGAATAGTATTTATCCCTTCCTTCAATTTTGTACATTTATCTCTGGTATTGAGTTCTCTCTGGTGTGCAGGGATCTGAAATCAATTACTGATAGAGAAGTTTGCTGTTTCATGATATCTTGCAAAAACTCCACCAACATTGATTCTGTTATAGACTGGCTTGTGAAGCATTCCAAATCAAAGAGCTGAAAAACTACTGTGTTTGAACTCTGATGTAATATCCCTGCGACTCATTTCTGGATTTTCTAGTGGCATTTGCATGTCTAACTCTCAGATTGGTTTATTCTTCCCTTTCCTAAGGTGCTTTGCAATGATTAGTCTTGTACGATTGGGAATTATACGGTATAACATACAGCCAAGGGTTATTTTATTGTGTATTGTCGGTGTAGGTATATCGTTAAAAATTCACAGAATTGCTTTTGCGAGAGGAATCGATGGTTTTGTCTAAAGCTGTTAAAAAAGACCCAAGCCTCAGCCTTATTTATAAAGCTCCTACTTGGCCCCCCTTTTTAGTGTTATAAGTCTTAGTTTCTTTTCTCATCTCTTTAGGTTTTCTCTTGATGAAAAGTAAAAAATGTTTATAGATTTTAAAAATACATCTTTAAGCACACCATTTTTCTTTATACGCAGGTACATCTTCGTATGAATCATTATTTTTAAATTCAGAGATTTTTTTTAGAAGCATCTCTAAATTTGTTTAATTAATGTGTTAAATCAAAAGGTTTATATTTGAGATGAATCTTTGAATTTGTTTAATTAATATATACGTGTTACGCTCGAGTTTTGCTTGAGTTTTTTTTAGTATAAATTTAAAATAAATGCACATCCATATTTATAGAGGGTGAACTCCTAAATATCAACATACATGGTATAGTTTCTACATTTGCCAAACACCAGAACAAGGAAGGAACGAATCATTTTACAGAAAAATTAAACACATTAAAATATTAGAAAGAAAAAAAAGTGTGATGTTGGATGAAACTCATATGAAATATGATGTTACCGGATTAGAAAACGATTAGCAGCCAACACATGTGGTGAGCTCCTTAATTCACTGGTGATGGAGAAGAGGAGGGGATGTATTTGCAAGGTACTCCGATACTAAAGTAAGAGACGAAGTAGAAAGAGCAAGTACAGAGAAAGTGTGTAGAAAATTGAATACCCGACCCTCTAGTGAAAGACGATATTTATAATGTGCTTCCAGCGCAAAACCAATTGTTACTTTGCACTGAGTTGAGTTGTAAGGCCCAATACGAGTAATTTCCAGAGCTTACGTGGCGTAGGAAAGACCAGCACGTGGTCTTCGCACTGAGTCATCTGCTCCGTGACCTTCAGAAAGTGGGTAGTTGCCTGATGACGTGTCCTCGCGTGGGAGGGGGGCACGTGGAGTCTGTGGGAGAGACGTATGAGAGCTCCTCATATGCGCGGATGGATTGGGTCTTCATTGGGCCCTCCCTGACGAGGAGTTGGGTTGGACCGTGCCCGACGGTGGACCAACCTCTGACCCAATCCAAAACAAGAGCCTCCCAAGTCGTTGCTTCGAAGCAGAGGGTGATGGGGCTCAGAGACTTGTCCAGAGGAGCGTCGCACGTGCCCGAGGTGCTGAGCCCGCGGGGCAATGCGCGTGACTAGACGTAGGAGCCATTAGTTGCGCGCGACGATGACCGGTTTTCGACGGGGTCGATCAGGTGTTCATCTCGAGGACAAAAGGGTGATGTGGCCGACGATGTAGTCTTGGATCTTTTCCTGTTTCCCCAGAGATACGTTCCCGACGGGTGACGTGGTCGGCGATATGACGAAAGCAGAAGGGAAACATACATCTTTTCTCTCGAGCAAGAGAGGAAGTTGGAAAGATGTGCGCACGGTGTCTTCTAGGGCCACGTGTCAAGAGCAATAAATGCATAGGGTGGCTACGAGTGGGGGCACTTAAGGGCCTAGTGATGCTTTATTTCCCGTGCTAGGGTTATAAATAGGGGGAAAGACTGCTCCATTTGCACGATCCCCTTCATTTCACTCAGGAATTCTCCTAAGTCCCTCCAAGCTCTCTCCGCTATCTAAAAAATGCCCGTCGTCGCCACCGCCGTCAGTCTTTCTCCGTCGTCCAAAATCTTCATTCATCAAGTAAGTCTCCGGTCTTTTCTCCAGATTTTATTCATTTTCCGACAATTTTATTCATTTTCCAGAGGTTCCTCCGGGGAGCTCATGAAGTTCTCGGGGAACGCACGAAGATTCTGACGACATTGATGAAGTTTTCGGTGAACTCATTAAGTTTCCAGTGCTCCTATGAAGTTTCCGACGAAGTTGTTGAAAAGTTCATGAGGATTCTGGGAAACTCCATGAAGTTTCCGATGAAGGTCTCGGGGACCTACGATGGAGGTCCCGGGGTGCCTTGCTTCCCTTAATCGTGCGAACATCACGAGGAAGCCTCTTGTCGGGGAGGTTCAATGAGGCTCCCCGCGTTCCATTGGAGAGATCTCACAAGTCGAAGAGCCTTTTCGTCGAGAAGAGAGGCTCATTGTCTCGCGTCAAGGAGATGTACCTTGTAGATGAGTCTTTCTAACGAGAAGGGAGGCTCGTTGTCTCGTGTCGGAGGGAGGGAAGCTTATTGTTTTCTTCGGGGAGAGTTTAACGAGCCTCTCCCCTCCCTTCTCTTTTCCCTTTCACTTGAATAGCGGTGGAAGGGTGGATTTAATCTTAGATGTCGAACTCACCGTTTCCCTCTATTTTTCAAGTAAAATGGCTACGAGGATTGAGGGTGTTATTGTGATCGATGATGGATCCGAGTCCGACACCTCATTCGAGCAAGTTGAAGCTGAGCGAGCTCGCATACCCGAAGATTGTGTTGGGCAGGAACTCCTCTGAATCTCGTCGCGCTTCGCCTTCGAAGACACTGACGCATTCGCCACTGTCGAGGACCGCGCTGAGGGCTCTCCCCCAAATTGGATGGTCTATAAGCCTAAAGAGAAGCACTGCATCTGCTTGAATTTCAAGGGGATGAGGTTCCCTATGTATGATTTCGTGTTTCGGGAAGCAGGGCTTCGCCTGCCTTTTAGTGATATTCAAAAGGAGTGTTTCAGTGGCTGCATTTGTCGCCTTCGCAACTCCATCCTAACGCGACCGCGTTCGTCCGAGCATTTGAACTTGTGTGCCGACACCTCCGTATTAGAGCCACGCTCCCCTTATTCTTTTGTACTTTTCATCTGCAACGACAAACTCTCTAAGGCCGGCATAACTGGGTGTCCCTGAAGCAGCCGAGGAAGCTGTTTCGAGCCTATATGGATTATGTCTGTTCCTTTAAGGACAAGTACTTCGTTGTGAAGCTCGTGTCGCACACGGCCGTTGACTCCCTATATAACCTCATGGTCAAAGAGGAGGACGGGAATCGAGAGGATTCATTAGAGTCGAAGTTTCCCCATGAGTGGGAGGAAGACCACTTCAAGCAGGGCACAGACAGTTACATCGCCAAGCATGCCGACTTGGATGCCAATGATAAGCTTTCTTACAAAAAGATAGTCGAGTTCGTCTCCGGTTTTATTCCGGCCAAATGCGTTAACAAGAACGACAATTTTATTCTAGATGAGCGCAGAGAGGTTCGTCGTGAGCCTCGATTGATTAATACCAAAGCCCTCATCGAGCGCGAGTCCGACGAGGCGGCCTTGAGGTTTCTCGGTAGTGGTCATTTTCTTCGCTTTCTATTGTTCTTTTTCTTCATCGTATTGACTTGTTTTCCTTTTTCTATAGAGGTCAGATGTCGAACATCCAAGAGCGCGTGTTAAAGCTCGCAACAACCAAGGGCGCGAAGAAGGCTGCTAAGGGTAGTCTCTCAGGTCAAACAGATGCTGAAGCTCGCCATCTTCAATTGCGATAGTGAGATACAAATAGAGAGTCTCCCCGTCCTCAGGTCCCGACAAAACTAGGGGTTCTGAGAGGACCTGCTTGAGGTGGAAGAGGGCTTGTTCGCACTCCTAGGTCCAATCAAACGTGGCCTCCTTGCGCAGAAGCTTGAAAATGGGAGAGCGTGTTGGGTAGAGTTGGCCACGAAGCGGGACAGTGAGGCGAGCATCCCGTTAAGGGATTGGATCGACTTCTTCAAGTTCAGCGTTGGGAACTCAGAGAAGGCCCTGCACTTGTCGGGGTTTGCCTCTATTCTTCGTTCCGTTAAGTAGAAACCGAGGAACTTACTTGCTCGGACGCTGAAGGTGCACTTCTCCAGGTTGAACCTCATTTTGCATCTCCTCGCCTTGTCGAAGACCCTTCTGAGATGGGACGTGTAGTCGATTTCTTCTCGTGATTTCACGATCATGTCGTCCATGTAAACCTCGAGTGTGGCTCCAATCTTGCCTCGAAAGACTTTGTTCATCATTCGCTGATAGGTCACGCCAGCGTTCTTCAGACCGAAGGGCATTACGTTGTAGTAATAATTGCCCGACTCGGTCATGAAAGTTGTATGCTTTTTGTCGGCCTTAGCCATGGGGATTTGGTTATACCCCGAGTAGGCGTTCATGAACCGCAGTAGTTTAAAGCCTGCAGAATTGTCGACCAGTTTGTCGATGTTAGGAAATGGATATGCATCTTTGGGACATGTCCGGTTAAGATCAGTATAATCAACGTACATTCTCCATTTTCCATTATATTTTTTAACCAATACAATGTTGGACATCCAGGTTGTGTATCGGGCTTTCAAAATAAAATTTTCCTATAGGAGGTCTTTTACAGCTTTTTCAGCAGCCTCCGCTTTCTTGGGAGACTGCCTACACCTGCGTTGTACTATGGCCTTAGCGGCCGGATCTATGGAGATTTGGTGAGAAGCCATGTCGGGGTCAAGCTCGGGCGTCTCTGCGGAACTCCACGCGAATAGGTCATCATTCTTCTGGAGGTAGGCCTTCAACTGCTTCTGCGCCAGGTCAGGGAGCCCAGTTCCAATCTTCATGCTCCTGTCAGGGTCATCACCGAGCATGATGAGCTCGAACTTTCCATCTAGAATGGGGCACATTGGATGAAGTGTCTTCCTGTTGTTTGCTGGAGGCGCGTCTTTTGGTACTTTGTTGTGCTCCTGCTTGCTGGGGAAGCGGCTGTAAAGGTCGACGGAGTTGACACGGGGCAACGACTTTTGCTCCTCAGTTCGGGTTGGCTTGTCGGCATTCTTGGGTGTGATGTTGGTCGAGTTGAGTCCCTTGATGGCCTCTTCG